GCCACCACCACCGTGCCAGCGGCCGCCGCCAAGACCGCCGTCACCACAGCCGCCGTCGCCAACTCAGTCAAACAGGTGGGCACTTGCTGGCCAGATGCCGGCCCCAGAGGTCGTTGTGATGTGGACCGCGACGGACGGCGGCGAACGTTATATGTGTGTGCGTGTTTCGTTTCGTGCTGTACCCCACACTTCATTTTTTGGTGTTCTTTGCCAGGTTAGTCAGGACAGAAGGAAAAGTCATGAAGTTTGTTCACAGCATTTGCATTTTGCAAACATATTGTTCCAAAGCCCCTCTGTGTGTGTGTGTGGTGTTGTGTGAGAGGCATATGGAAGCATTTGCTTCACGTTTGTTTGCAATTTCCATGAACAAGGATATCATTGCCTGACCTAAATATTGGTAAAATATTTTAAAAGCACCAGGACAACTTTCAAACAACGTTGGTTCGCCATTAGTCAGGATAGTGTCATTTAAGTTTGATCCCATAGCAGCGACATGAAATGTATGCAGTGAGAGGACATTGTGGCTCACAAAGGGGAAATATGATGTGCATAGCTTTCTAGTCTTTTAATGTTTTGCTGTTCTGGTCACTTCTATCTTGTGATTTGAAATGACATGACAGGGCCAAGTCCCTGAGTTGATAAATTGCATTGTATCTGCATTAAAACTCACTGCCAATGATGTTTGTTAAAATTAATCAGGAAGCTCTCATCAAGAATGAAATAGTTGCTTGACTTAAAATTAATCAGGAAGCTCTCATCAAGAATGAAATAGTTGCTTGACTTCTGTCTAGGTGCTGGTAAAACTGTGTGTGTTAAGATCTGTTCATTCTGTGGGATCATTATTTACTACAGAAACAAGGAATATCAAAAACTCTGGTTACTGATGTTGCCATATCTTTGTTATGTACAGTTTGGTGTTGCTATTGTGTTGTTTATTTTGGCGATGTAGGAAATAGCTCACTATGAATGAACAGCAATACATATGCTGTTAGTAATTTCACCGATTCTCTGGAACTCCAATATGCTTATCACCCATGAGCTCTTTTCACTCATTCTGGTCTGTTAGGTTGTATGCAGGACATTCGTCATTTCTGTGTGTCGTACCTGCTGAAATCTGCTTGTGATACTGACATTCCCTGTGCCCATGTATATGGTTAGTTCGGGGCGTCTCTGCTGAGCTCTGTCCGCCCCTGCCGAGCTCCTGGTCAGGTCAGCTCCTGGCAGCCATGTGTGCGTGTGTGTGTGTGTGTGTGCGTGTGTGTATGTGTGCGTGTGTGATGTGCGATCACCTGTATGTATCACCATGTGACCATCTGCGTGATCGTCCCCGGACGTCGCCGCGCGGACTCGTTTGTCCGTTATCAGCCGCTGACGCCGTGCCTGCAGGTGCTACCGGCGGTGACGACGGCTCCCTCCAGTCAGCCGGCGCCGGCCGCGCCGCCTCCCCGGCAGCCGGCGCCGGCTGCGCCCGCGCCTGCCCCCGCCCCGGCGCCGCCGCCAGCCGCTCCCGACGCCCAGAAACCGGCGCAGCCCGTCTTGCCGCAGGTGACGCCGCACAAGGTAGCTACCTGTGCCGAGAGGTGGGCCGAGGCCGACCGGCCCGGCGGCGCAGACATGAACCCGCTCAGACATACGAGGCCTCGAGGAGAGGCGACAATGCGGTGCATGTGTTTCTCAGCAATGCGGGTCATACGCTACTGAATTGGTCTGTTGCATGCTGTGACATGTAATGTGGTGGATGAGTGGACAACAGCTGGGCGTGCTTTCTTGGTTGGATGCATATTTTTCTGCTGTGTTGACATGTGCTTGAAATGAATGCCATCTGACTTGGTGAACTAGCTGTACATGTCGCCACTCATGTCATGTGATGTGTTTCGCACCTGAGTCAAAAGGCGCTATCAAACCCAGTCTTGTAAATCCTTCCAGACATGTGCGTTGGTCGTAGCTGTCGTGTGATAACTAACGGCTCACTTTGGCAAAGGCATATTTTACTTATTTCTACGTGTTTTGCCTGCAGGTGCCGCAGGTGAAGAAGGGTGTCAAAAGAAAGGCGGACACGACGACGCCGGCGATGGCCGGTACGCCGGACCCGCCGTTCGCTCCCACCGAGCCCAAACTCACCAAGCTGGGCAAGCGGCGCGAGTCGGGTCGCCAGATCAAGAAGGTCGTCAAGGATCTGCCCGACTCGCAGGCGCGCAACGCCAACGCCGGCAAAAACCGCGAGAAAATGCAGGAGTCGATGAAAGCCTGCAACGAGATCCTGAAGGAGCTCTTCTCGAAAAAGCACTCGGTGAGTTTTCGGGGCTTTGCGTTTTGCTTGTGCGTGGTGTCCATACAGTGGCTGGGGTGAAGGTGACAGAGAGTTTGTTGTTGGTTAAGAAATGACACTAGCCAGTGCTGGAATGGAGTTGCTGTATGATCAGAGGCTTTGGGTTGGCCTCGGTAGCGTACTCAACAGTACTGCGGTGTCTGGCCCGCTCCCGTAATGTGCTTCTCGTCCGATGATGTGGTTCCTCGTTGCTTTTTGTGCCATTGAGTCCAGCGCAATATTGTGGGCAACGTTTGCCTGTTTTGTTTGGAACCCAGCATAATTGAATAAAGAATGGGTCAATTGACGCAAACCTTTATCATGGCGTGTTTACTTTTTCAGTTCTTGTGCAAACGCCGCAGTGCTATGTGTCCAAGCCCCTGCGTTTGTTTTGCTGGGGCCGAATTTCGCTGAAATAGAAAGGTCTTGCACACGGCTTGTTCCCCGACCGTGGCGCCGTGTCCATCGCAGTTCAGCATGATGACATCTTAGCCCATGCGCGTCATCTGAGGCGGTCCGCCCGGCGGCTGGGCGCCGCCGCCGGCCGTGTTCTACTGCCGGCGGCCGGTGTCCGCTCGCTGGGCCCCGCCCGGGATCATAGCGGAGCTTCTGACCGACCGGCGGCCGGTCGCCCGCTGAGTCCGGCCTCCAGCCCACCGTGACGTGGCGCCCGCCGGCTCCGACTGCCCGCAGGCGTACGCGTGGCCATTCTACAAGCCGGTGGACGCAGACAGTCTCGGCCTACAGGACTACCACGACATCATCAAGCAGCCGATGGACCTGGGCACGGCCAAGAGCAAGATGGACAACCGGGAGTACCGCACTCCCAGCGAGTTTGCCAACGACGTCCGGCTCATATTCACCAACTGCTACAAGTACAATCCGCCCGACCACGACGTCGTCGCCATGGCGCGTAAATTGCAGGACGTCTTCGAAATGAAGTGAGTGGCGCTCACCGCTAATGGTTTATGCTGGTTGGTTGTATTCTTGTGATGGCGAGTTTTGAATATTGACGCTGCGCACCGTAATGAATTTTGTCACGTGCCGCTCCATGTTGGAAAATTATTTAGACGAAAAACACGACTAAAGCCAGACTGAAGCTAAAGCAGACTGAGCTCTACCAAAGTTTAAAACAGCATTCGGTAAATTATGTTAAAAGCTTGTCTCAAAAGGAACCATTTCGAAACAGCTTTGGATGTATGCCCCCAAAAGCTGCCCGTTTTGCTAGTTGCACATTGTGATAGCTTTATATCCCAAACTATTGTCGGTGTACGGAATTTGTCTGTCCGGAGGCTCAGCGGCGCCGTCCGGTGCTGTGGACGTGGCCGTCGGCCTCAGCGGGACGGCAATGGAGCGGGGCGTGTATGGCCGCTGACGACGCTCGTTCGCAGGTTTGCGAAGATTCCGGAGGACGAGGCGCTGCTGTCGGAGGAGGAGAGGTCCAGTTCGGAGTCCGAGTCGGACCACTCCGAAGAGGAGAGGGAACAAAAGCTCTTAGTCCTTCAAAACCAGGTGTGTGAGAAATACAGTTCCCTTCCTATGACATCAACTTTCGAATTTTCCCCAGCCCCGATTAGTGCGTATCGTCCGCGAGCACGTCCTGTGTGCGGACCTGCAGACCTGATAGCGAGCTGACCCTGGGCTCGGTGCTTGCAGTTGCGAGTCGTCCAGGAGCAGATCAATACGCTGCTTCAGGAGAGCTTATCGAAAAAGAAGAAGGACAAGAAGAAGAAGAGCAAACGCGACCGGCACCACGGCGACGGGCTGACCGTGCTCAGCCCGCTGACCAACAGCCTGGCGGGCGCGGGCGCGGCGGCCGGCGCCAACAAAACGCTCAAAACGAAACCGATGAAGGCTCCCAGCAACAGCAAGCTGGGCGCCGGGCGGCGGCCGCGCGCCACCAAAGCGGCCAAGGCCAACAGCGTCAAAAAGAAGCAGACGGCCGGCCCGGCGCCCGCCTACGACTCGGAGGAGGACGAGGACAACGCCCGGCCCATGTCCTACGACGAGAAGCGACAGCTCAGTCTGGACATCAATAAGCTGCCAGGTGAGGCGTCCACCGGATGTCAAGGCGACCCGCGATGAGGTGACGGGGTGATCTGTCTGCGGGGGACGGCTCGGCCTCGCGCGCCGCCTCCCTTGCGAGAGGCTTTCTTTTCTTTTCGACTTTTGAGAGCGTGTCGCTACGTCGGACTGTCCTCGTCTCGGGTGCCAGTCACGCTTTGTTTCGCGACCGACGCCGGTCCTGTTCGCTGCTGCGGCACGGATGTCGGCCGCGCGGTGTCCCCGCGACGGTAGCGAGCCGCGCTCTGCAGCTTGCGACTGGTGCCGTCCACACTCTGTGTCTCCCGCCGACTGACGCCGGCGCCGCTGCGTATGTCGCACCACTGACGTCGGCGCTGCTACGTGTGTCGCACCACCGACCGGCGCTGCTGCGTGTGTCTCACCACTGACGCCGGCGCCGCTACGTGTGTCGCACCACTGACCGGCGCTGCTGCGTGTGTCTCACCACTGACGCCGGCGCCGCTACGTGTGTCGCACCACCGGCCGGCGCTGCTGCGTGTGTCTCACCACTGACGCCGGCGCCGCTACGTGTGTCGCACCACTGACCGGCGCCGCTGCGTGTGTCTCACCACTGCCGCCGGTGCCCCTGCGTGTGTCGCACCACTGACTTCGGCGCTGCTGCGTATGTCGCACCACCGACTCCCACGCTGCTGCTTGTGTCGCACCACTGACTCCCGCGCTGCTGCGTTTGTCCCACCACTGACTGGCGCTGTTGCGTGTGTCCCATCACTGACGCTGGTGCTGCTGCGTGTGTCGCACCACTAACCGGCGTTGCTGCGTCTCAGGAGACAAGCTGGGCCGCGTGGTGCACATCATCCAGTCTCGCGAGCCGTCGCTGCGGGACTCGAACCCGGATGAGATCGAGATCGATTTCGAGACCTTGCGGCCATCCACGCTCCGAGAGCTCGAGTCATACGTGGCCAGCTGTCTGCGCAAAAAGCCTAGGAAACAGTTCGGTGAGTAGCTGCTACTGCTCGGCTCCCCTGTGTGGCAGGCCGAGTCCGACTCTGTTGTTACTCCGCCGCAACTAGATACCGCCCCCGTCATATCATCTGTATATCCTCCTTCCCCGACGTCGCGCGCGCATTGGAGTTGAATTCGGATTAAGTTATCCCATTTCCGTTACCGGGCTTCGATGAAATTAAACACCGCGCTGGCATTCATTTAAATGCCTCCGTGTTCGTGGGAAAATACTCCCGCGGTTATGTCCTCTGGCAGCGAGCAATTATATTCTGAGTGTGAGATCCCGCGTTGCAATTTGTGTCGACATTGTTGGCAACCCGTATGGAACTCGTTTATCAGCTATTGTTTTTTTCATTGGTGACTCCATACTTGCCAGGCATTGAGTAAGACCAGTTTGTTGAAATGTCGTTCTTGCAGTGCTGCAACATTTGAAAGGTGCGGTGGGTTGTGATAATGGTGCAGCATTTAGCTCCATGTGACACTTCAGTTGTTGCTGATTGGACCTATATTGACCTAAATCGGTCTGTTTAATTTTAGACAAAAAGCAGAGCAGCAAGTCAAAGGATGAGCAGATGATGGAGAAAAAGCAGGAGCTAGAGAAACGGCTTCAAGACGTCACCGGCCAACTTGGCACTACCACCAAGAAGCCAGCTAAAAAAGGTGCCTGCCAGACCGTAACGTTCAATTTTTTGCTTTCATTATGTCTTCAGTTGATCAGATTTTATGATTGCTATCTTCTCTGCTTCACACTGATGGGCCCCGCTGACATATTCGTTGCTCAACGTGTAACTCTATGAAAGCGTTCGGAATCCTGGCTGACCGGCGCCCGACTTGTACTTAGCTGTCGGCCCGGATGTGGTGCTAACCGCCGCTGTGCCTCCTGTCGTCAGACGAGGGTAAGGGTGGCGGCGACGGCGGCGGCGCGTCGCGACTCTCTGCCTCTAGCAGCAGCTCGTCCGACTCGGACAGCAGCTCCAGCTCCTCCAGCTCCAGCAGCTCCGACTCGAGTGACTCGGAGGCGGGCTAGACTCAGCGCCCGGGCGCGCCTCAGCCATCTCACACATTTTTATACCGGACCAGTCGCGCCCGGAGTCGATTCATGCCCAGCGGGCGGCCGGCGCCGCGGCCGCAGTGGAGCCGCGCGCACTCGTCCGACCGTTCCACTGGTTGTGAATTTTAAGTGAGCGTTTCGTTTTATGTGACCGTGTGAAGCCATTGAGTGCAGAAATGTTTTGGCGTTCGGCCCTGCCGCAAGTGCGCGCCGCGCGGGCCAGCCGGCCGGCGGCGCTCGGCCGGCACGTCATGGAGAGGGGGCCGCTTGTGCACGGTCCTGGTAGGGGCGCGCGCGCACCCGCGCCGACGCCAGGCCCTGATCTCGCCTTAGCACGGGCTGGTCTGGCCGTCAGGCGTGGTACGCACTTGATGACCCGCCGATCCTGCTGCGCGAGCCCGCGCGTGTTTGTGTTCGGCTGTCGTCCCCGCCCATGCCCAACTGCCCATCGCTCGTCTCGCATTGTCAACATAGACGTTTATTATTTATCTAATGTGTACAGCGAAGGTTTATGAGTGTTCTCCAGGGCTAACGTCACTGGTCGACAGTGATACGTTTTATATGCTCCCTCGTCCCCCTGTAGTTCTGTCATAATCATTTTTGTAGAAATTCGTGTAGATCGCGCATTTCTCATGATCTTTCTCTTGTGCGTTGCCACAGTTCGTTCGGCCGCTTTTCAGATGTTGCCATATTGTAATTAGCAATAAGGTCATGCTCGAAAATTCATGTTCATTGTAGCGGTGTGCGTGGAAGCGAATAAATGATCATTTGTCATTTGCGATGTCCGATATTTCTGCACTCAATGGTTGGCACTGAATACAGGCTATGACGTGTGGCATGCTGTTTGGCATCCCGTCTGCCGCGCGCGGGAGACTGTGCCGCTGGTGTACGGCACACGAATGGGGTGTGCCACACGTCGCGGTCAGAGCGGTGTGAGGTGTGAACGGTGACCTGAAAGCCCATTCGCATGTGAGGACGCTGGCGACGGTCACGCGCCATCGGGCCGAGGGCGTTTGTTTGCAGGCATGTTCGTGTGTGGCATGTGGGACGTTCTGCGACCGTGGACATTAGACCCGTGTGGCCGTGGTCTGGCCGGGCCGTGCGCCCCGCTGGCCAGTGCGACGTCGCGGCTTTCGAGGGTGACCTGGCGCCGGGCCTTCGCTATCATTCAGTTTGTCAGATCGAGACCGGCAATTCAGCGAATGCCATCCCGGGTAGTTGCATGAAACAATGCCATCCCGGGTAGTTCCATGAAACAATGCCATCCCAGGTAGTTCCATGAAACAATGCCATCCCGGGTAGTTCCATGAAACAATGCCATCCCGGGTATTTCCATGAAACAATGCCATCCCGGGTAGGTAGAAGGTGGTAGACAGAGCGTGGGAAGAACATGCCCAGCGCGTCGGCGGGTCATGCCGCAAGAGGTGCGCCGCCGACACGACAGACGCTGCACCCGGGAAAGGAGGGTGGCTAACTGTGATAAGGAAGACCCTACCTGGCCGTCCCGCTGCTTTGCCGATGTCCGTGACGGTGGGCTTAATACCCGTTGTTGGGGATTAAGGGCGCGTCGACAGCCGCGGTCAGGGCTTGGTACCCAGCCGGCAGGGTATAACCCTCAGCCTTCGGGCGTGTTAACTTGAAGGCCTCGGTTTCTGTGGCGCCCAGTGGTCGGGGCGGCCCTCAGCTGGCCGGTGGACTAAACCAAGAACTTGAGACTGCTGTACAGATAAATCAATGGTAAACCCATTCTATTGGCACGACTGCAAGATGGGCTGTGAACGGGATAGTGAGATAATGTCAAGTCCATTAAGCGCAGGGCGTTTCGAACTAGCGCGTTCCGTCATTTGTATGCCAAGGTCTGTATAAGGTCATCATAGCAGACAGCAGGCTGAAACCATACGTTATACATCCTTTGTTCTACCGCTTAGAAGCCTGCGGTTTCAACACATTGTCATCAGCACAAGTTGGCAACAGTAGTTGCAACACAAGTTGGCAACAACATACCCCTGTGCTTGGGGTATGCGGGAGTCCCGGGTTCGATTCCAAGCAGAGCACAGAACGTCTTCCATCGTGTGGTGTTGGTAGACAGGCCTTGGCACGTAAAAAAACTAGGAAATATTTTTGCCCTGGCTGATTAAGATCTGTGAAAGACGCCGATTAGCGTCTGGACTGGGTTGAAAAGTGTCGGATTGCTATGGATCGGATTCCAAAGATGCAGTCTGAGAAGCTCTCTAGTTGGCAGTTGACCTATTCTCGAAGTAAAATACCACTATCGTCACGCCCCGCGTATTCTTTGCGTGCCAATAGACCGCGATTATGCTTTATGAATCGGCTGTCTTAATGCTTTGATTAGTGTAATGGGTTGACTCCAGATGAAATATCGATGAGATATGTGCATTTCAATCTTGTTAATATCGCTCGCGGCACAGATGGCGGCACTGCGTGCGCACAAAGCAGTTTGAGAGCCACTGTTCCATGAGCCAGGATAGCCAAATATAAACCGTAGAGCTGCGCATGCATAAATTTCGTTGGACGGACGTTACCCGCCACTTACCTCGCTATGTTGACATGCCATCTGGTCGCTAATTGCTTACGATTCAAGCAAATGTCTCGAAGCTGATGATCTCTATATCAGCGCATTCTCGAGACCGCACGTGACCTCAGGGATGCGCGAACCTTTCACTGAAAGCCTCACTAGCCGCGACGTTCTTCAATTTGGCACCACATTCACATTCAGATTGCAGTCCATATTCGGAATCCAGTGGACTCCTCAAATTGGCCTGAAACCTTCTATACAGATGCCGTTTAATCTCCTTAGCACAATGAGGACAAAATATTGGACCGGTTCGCCCTATTACCGCAGATATATCAATATGAAAAACCACAATAAAAAATGCGGACACCTTCAATTGGTTCGAAACTCCGTATGCTGATAGAAATTGACCTCCTGATTACGAATAGCACAAAATCTTGCACCGGTACGCTGCGTCAGAAAAGTTAGAGCTTTTCAAATGCCGGGGCCGCTAATCCAGCAATCATGTCCAACTGGGACCCATGTGGGTCCAGGGTGGGCAGCGTTATGAGGCCTATCAGGGCTGCCCACTTCGGTCTCACGTAGGCATGTCATGAGCAACCAACTGGGTCCCACATGGGCAGCCCACCCGGGGCCTACGTGTGGACTAACTGTGATCCACATGGGGTCCACCTGGACTACCCAGTTGGGACCCGCGTGGGCATGTTCAGCTGGGGGCCCACATGGGTATGTCTTGCTGGGCCCCATGAAACCAGCTCAGATGGGACCCATATACTTAGCCCAGATGGGACCTTTTTAACCGCCCCAGATGGACCCCAGTTGGGCTCCACCGTATGCCCTTTCAAATTCCACCTGGTTGATGGACCGCCGTAATTCCAGGCATACTGTTTCATGTCATTGATGATAAGTCAGGTCAAAGTTTATTCACCATGTATTTGACCGAAATTGCCTCGGCGACAGCACCATTGCACAAAACGTACACTTCTCTGTCATCATGCCTGGTGCGATTATCACTAAACCATTCACGAGATGTCACGCGTTGCCGTTGCTGCCGTTGTCAGCGCGATGTTTCCGCAGTCTCTCCCGCCAAAGCCATTTTTCTGGTACCTATTCCGTTTTGTTGCGGGAGACACCGTAGCGCGATGTGTTGCGCAAGATGGCCCCTGAAAATGGCGATATTCAGTGCCTCAGATCACCGCCCCATGGCTTGAGTATGGACGATAATTCATGTAGGCGGATTTTATGTTGAGTCGTTTACCGAGGTAGAGCCGATGAGAGCAACCATGTCGAATAGAAGTTCAGAAATGCACTACACATGTATTCTCTTGGAGTGTTTGTATGGCAAAACTTTACGTGAGATCTTTTGCATGGAGTACTTGCATGAAAGCCGACTTGAGTAATGTTTGCCTGCGGTCACGTTAACAACAACAAACTATTGATGATGCTATTTATGAGGGTAATCCAGCGAAACGTTTGTATTTTATGAGAATGACATGCAGTGTTGTCTGTTACTTTGTCAGGACGATGATAACGAGCTTATCAGCCATTATTAGAAAGACTGGAACATAGTAGCTGCCAGCCAGCTGTCTATACGGGAATAAGATATTGTTTCGATAGATCATTTTCTAAAGGGCGGCTGCTTTCCGATGCACTCACTCATTAATTGATTAATCTGGGTCGTTTTAGGCACTCGCTCTTTGTCCCCGTAATGGATGGCCTGCGTCTGATAGCAACAAATGCAGTCGTCAATGATTAATAGATGCACTTGTTAAAAGTGTTTGAAATAAAGAATAAAACGGCAAATCCCGGGCAAATAGTATCAGCACCCCCCTTAAAAGAGATTGCTGCCTTTTTGTTACGTCGCGATTCCAAAACGTCGTTTACGGATGTTTGTCCGTGAAAGTGCTCAGAGAAATGAAACAGATAACATGGATTTGTCTTCGCCATGCTCATCTTATGGAATTGCCAAAAATCGTGACAAGGAAACCATCGCTGTAAATTTTAGCAGTTGTACATGAAGTACGAGCCGAATATTACGAAACCATATAGATAATACCTGCTTTCCCAAGGATGATGATTATGGAGCAGCACCAGTTGTCTTTCACAGAAGCTTCTGATTGCTATGCCAGCTTGCTGACAGACATAACGTTTCCGGGCGACCACGGGCAGTCCTCAAGCAATCCTCCAGAGCGGAGCAGCCGCAGTTCCCAGCAGCAGTTCAGAAGTTCAACAGTGGAGCATTTCTCCAGCTAACCAAGGGCTGGAGCTGATGCCTGTCCCTCCCTCGTCGAAATGCGCAACAGCGAACCTCATCCTGCCGGAAAAACACGCAAAAATGGGACGTAAACTGAAAAACAAGAGCACATCGCTTGCATATTGCAAACACATCGGGAGAAACAGGCGATGAGGTGTTGCAAATGTATTGTCGAAAATGAAAAAAGTA